ATCAATGCACTGCCTATGTTTCTATCTGTGACTGAAAAAGCTCCTGATAAAGGACTTTACAATCCCTGGAAACATCACTATGCGTGTTCTGTCAACAGGTTTATTTTTGTAATATGCACATATTGCAGTTGAGTATTTCCGCAGCCCTTTGTCAGTAGCTCAAACACCCAGTAGGAGAAAAGCCTCAGCAGCTTCCCATGGTCAAACATTTGCTGGAAATACTTCGTTTTGTTTTGGCAAAGGTTGGCCCCTGGGTGCACGACGAAGGACAAGATGTGGATTTTATTGCAATCACGCAGTCGTTTTGTAATTTGGACGTATACAAATGTATTGAGTTCTTTGAATTTATCTGCCAATTTCAATCTTCTGGGTAATGAGCGAATCTCGATGAGATTTTACAAGAGTTTGAACTCGGGACCTGGCATGGTAAAGTTCATTTGATGTCTGTTCAGATGTTTTTGTTTGTCTCACACACTACGGTCAATGTCTACATGCTTGCAGGGATGCAGTTCATGTGTGAAAGTGGATCATTTCAGCACAGACAGGGGGGTAGTATAGTGGAAGTAGGATTTTATATACTGAGTAAATCTGTACATGTTCATTTTAGTATTCTAGTACAAGGAATATGTGTGTGTGTGTGTGTGTTTGTGTGTGTTGTGGGTGGTGTTTTTTTCAAAATTAAATGGCTCCCCAATTCCTTGTAGAAAGAAAAATCAATTGTGACATTCTCCAGACGGTGTACACCACATTTAATTAGCACAGAGACACGTGGGAGAAAGCCAAATTATCCAATAACTGAGGAGGAGACACGGGTTGGTTAGGCGCGGGAGAAAGGATGGGGGTGTGGGGGAGCAAATGGGAGATAATAGGAAGGCAGCGGGGAGGTAAAGGGGAGGCAAGTGAGAGGTGAAGAGAAATAGGAGAGAGGAGAAGACGAGGTGAGGGAGTGAAAGTGGAGGCAATGAGGAAAAGAGGGATGGGAGAAGGGGAGAAAGACGGGGAGGACAAGGGGGGGGGTGAGTTCTGTGTGGGAGAACACGGCCGCTGTCCATTTATTTTGTAGTTTAGCCTGATTTCTCACTGCAGATTCCGCTAATACCTGACAGCAGCTCTGCAGCTAATTGTGCCATTCACCGTGATAGAGTATCAAGCTCACGCTCGCACTGAAAGAAGCATCGCAAGACTAATCTCATTAGAGCAAAGTGAACTCTCCAAGACTATAAAGGTTTCTTCTTTAACTTTCCAGGGAAGTCACCTTTACAGATATAGCGGATTATAGTGAAATAGAAAGTGAAGAAGAAAGTGTTAGGTGTTTTTTTCACCCATTTTCTTGCTTGGTCTTGGTGTTATGTTATGTACCTGTTCTTATAATTGTGCAAACAAACAACATCTGACATTGTGACAAATTTCTTACAAAAGCAAGTTTCAATCTACAACTTGACTTTTATACTGTATATAAATGAATGTAGGCAGGAAATGCACAACACACTGTAAAATGCTACATTTATCGAATTCCCAATTGAGCTAAAACACACCAGTATGGTCTTGCCTGATATCAGACTTGTCTACTTGTTACAGTCCGTTTCCATCTTCAATCCGACATTGCTTCCACTGTAATTGATTTCCATGGGGAACATGGATTTGATTTTCCCTAACCAATCACTAGAGACCATCGTATATGCCTGAATCCAACATCTACAATGTCAGGTGTTATTAAGAAGATACCATCTATGGCAAATATATGGTAGCCAAGGGGGTCATAAGAAATTCAAGAGGTGTTATTCAGCAGCACAAAAGGTACACTTGAATGGATCGATTTATCTTTAAAGCGGGATACCACTGTCTCATGTCATGGTGCTGGATGTGTCCGTCAACTCGGTGGAGGGGGGGGAATCGAAGGTCTGGAACTAGGCAAGATATGGTGCTTAAAATTGTATATAGGTTGAATCGAACCCTGGTGCGTTTAGCCGCTTGGTGCGGTTCGTTTGGGTTGGTGTGAACGCAGCCCGAGACCTCTGAAGTGAACTGAACAACCTGACTCTGGTCCGCCTAAAAGAGGTGGTCTCGGAGCGCTTGCTTGTGAACTCTGGAGCGGTTCATCGCTGGTGTGAACGCAGTGCGCGCCAAAACATAGGAAGTGTAGTATTTACACGTCACAAGAACGCGGATGTCTTCTAAATCTTTATCAAAAGACTCTTTCGCTAAAGATTTTGAAGACATCCGCGTTTTTTTAGTTAAAGAGCGAAGCAGAATGAAGTGTTTAAAAGTGTCGTAACAGTACAAATGCTCCGTCAACTATACATAAAAGTCAGAGCCACCTGTCGTCTGTGAAACCTCCTCCTGACTGCAGAACGTCTCTCATTATGTCTTATCAGTTTTTTAACGGACATTGTCTGATTATATAATCATATGCGCGGGCCGCTAGAGTCTGTTGATCTCCAGATTAACAGCAGCATGAGAATAACCTGCCGAAAGTGCCGATGCTCCATGGCGGAGGCTCCGCTAGAAATTGTCGGGATTTGCGTTTTTACCCCCTTAATGTCTTAATGTAAACAGCATTTCTGATCACATGACTTGTGTTTAAAGTTCATAGTCCGTTTGAGTTTTACCCGTGTGAACGCAAACCGAACCTTCTGAAAAATGTAACAAACTGTCGTCTGGTGCGCACCTGAAAACGGACTAAGAATTGAATTGCTCCAGCTTCTTGTGGATTCTTAAAACTGACTTTATGATTCATACCGGGATCACTATTTCTCCAAACAGTTTATTCCTTTTCTCAGCTTAACCCAACAGCAATATGGGGGTGAAACACTGAGCTAGACCTCTTTCAAGCACTTGATTAACTGTTTTAATGATGCCAAATAAGATCACGATATCAGCAGAGTCAACACTGCCATATCCAACCTTTTCACCCACTGCTAAACCACTGACAGCTGGAGAAAGTTTAATCACATGTCGGTGTCAGTTTGTCCCCACCGCCTGCAGTCAGACTGATCAAAACACAGCAAACTGAACACTGTTAGAGTGCTAAAGACCCAGAAACGGAGACAAAGTAATCGAAAGATATCAAAAAGATAGAAAACTCCCTCGTACTCTCAGCGGCCCTCACAACAACCCCTCCCAGCATGCACTCTGAGAGGGAGACGGAGAGAGAGAGTCCAGTTGAATCCTCTGCTTCCGAGAGCATCGTAGAAAACTCAACTTAATTGAGTGTGAAGCTGAACTTTCTGACAGCATCATGTTCAAAACCCACCAAGATATCACACAGATGAAGACAACAGGATCAAGATGGAAAAGATAAAAACACCAAGTACAGATAAGACGAGGAGCCCAAACACAAAATCTTTTTCCTGCACCTAAAATACTGACTGGATGTCTGCTCTGACTCAGATAGATCCACATGTTGAGCCGCACAAATCCCAAGAGGAAAGCCTTTCTTCATCCAGTTAACCCCGCTTTACCGGCGAACTGTAAATCTTTATTATTTCAGCACTTACACAGCAACAAACTTCCTTAAAACTGCCTAAAAAAGAGCAGTATTTCCCCACACGGATGAACTGAGATAGCTGAATCATCTTAATATGAATGTCACAAGCTCCTCTGACTCCTAAGGATGTGTTTTAGTAAGTCGTCCTTATCCCGCTGATCTGATGGAACAGATGCGCTTATGTTTTAATCAATACAGCTACACCGGCTTTGTAAGATTTTTTCATTTGACTTACCATGCAACTACATTGATTTGTAATAAGCAATTATAGCTATCAGAACGGATTCAAGCACACAGCAGTGCTGAAACTGACTGGATTATTTAGCTTTTCGTAAAGTAACTAACTCTAACCCTCAGGACAATGACCGCCATACTACTAGAACTCCTTCATTTCTTCTTGGACCCTAACACTCTAGTGTCATAGGGTGTTGTAAGTTGTAAGATTTAAATGTTTTAAAATGTACTCAAAGTTCAATAAAATACCAGAATGATTGGTGTCAGAATAGAAAAGCACCATTACATTAATCTGGCAGTTGTGGTGACTCTAGTTAACCATAATTCACTTTTGGGTTACAGTTCCTACACGGACCTTGTTTAGTGTAACACCGAGTATTTAGGTTGCCAAGCTAGAGCTAGCAAGGCACTCTAACTTGACTCTCATCACTGAGCACATGTTTGATATCTCTATGGCTTGATGGAAAATAAAGAGTGGAATTCCATTTTAAATACTCCGCCTCCGACTCCTTCTTACCGGCACTACACAGTCACTTTTTACCAATGTGTCTCCCAACTAGTGCATTCAAACAAGGAATAAAGAGCTGAGTGTCATCAGGGGTGAGAGCTGAACCACTGGCTCCAATATAAAAAAACTATGAGATGTTAATAATTGTATTATAAAAGTGATTATGGTTTTGCTTTCCTTTTGCGAGAATTAGGGTTGGGGTTGAGGTTAGGGTTCGGGTTGGTTACCACAGAGCGGTCAATAGTCCAGAGGAGAACAATGGTCTTCACAAAATGTAGGTTTGTGCCAAACTTTCCGCTGAAACCAAAACTAATGGAGCCGCTGGTCTGCTTTCCTTTGGAATCTCATCAGCCAAAAAGTCAAGCTATTGTTGCGCTAATGACCCTGAATGCCTTTCATTTCCTCGTGGAAATTATAAAATGACTGTCGTATTTTGTAATATAATTTTGTGAGTCAATGAGCTCTTAAAAAAGACAATGAAATATCAAATCTGTGTGTACGTGTTGGTGTGATATTCTTGTCTTTATGTACACTTGCCTCTTACTTGCAACTCCTGCATACTTACTACTCTACTCTCTTGCCACACACACACACACACACACACACACACACACACACACACACACACACACACACACACACACACACACACACACACACACACTCCCTGTCAAAGCTGCTACACCAGTTCAACGGATCACTCAGCAGTATCTACCCACAACACCTGACACGCCCCTCTCTGTCTCCCTCTTCCTGCCTCTTTCTCTCGGTTTCTTTCTCGTGGGCATCATGAATGGGAAAGACATCTGAACTACGGGAGTGCACAGAAGACAGACAGAAGTAAAGCAGAACTTTTTTGCAAAGTGTGGAGAAGAAGAGCACTTCAACAGGTATGGATGACAGTACCACTTTCACTGTAATGATTCTAGTTTGAATGTTTCTTTGCCTGTGCCAAACCTGTGTGTTGGGTACATGGGACACGCATGATGTTTGGCAGATTCATAAAGTCAACAGTGAGTCAGACCATCAGATTTTTTCGTGCCATCAAACATCTTAATGGCAGTTTAATGTCAGAGAAGTGTGTGTTGACAAACTTGATTTCTGCCCCTTGTGCTCCAATTGTGAATACTTTCACTTCAGGTGTTTCAGCAGGCAGAGGATATATCTGAACTTTTTGTCAGACTGTTTAACATAGCATTACTTGATTTTGTGCAGATACTGCCAATTACAAGTGGTGCAACTTGCAAGTTATACGGTTCAGTCAAAGATTCATGAATTATCTAGCTAAATTATTGAAGTTAGGGACATCCATCTAAAAATAGTAAACATTTACTTTTGGTTTCACATTGGACACAACCAGTTGTCTCCTGGGTACAAATCCAGTGTTTTTTTAAACCCACCCAATCGCCTTTTTTACATGACCTTGGTAAGGACAAGACTTACTTATGATACATCAAAACGTTATTGACGATGCAGTTTTGTTGTAAGGGAACGTCATGTTTTTATAGAAAATGGCCACCACTTGCATGGAACAGATGAGCTCAAATAACATTACAAATAAAAGGTCTTAAAACTAGATTTGAACTTATGAAATGTTATTTTTAATCGGTGATGTTAATCTCTGTGTGTTTGTCCCCCAGAATGGGCTCTAACCAGAGCAGCGAAAAACTCTACTGCAACCGCTACCTGGATGGAAATGGTCCTCCATCACTGGTACAACAAGGTCCTTCCCACACACATGCAAACCAATTCTCTGATTCTGTCGAGCTTTAACTTCTTCTGGGTGATTTGACTGAACCTGGCCTCCTGTCTTTGCAGCTAATGCAGAGGTGAATGGGATCTACAAAGTCCTGAGTGGCACCCAGCCACCGGGCCAGATGACCTGGGTGATCCTCCACAGAGACCTGCCAGGGTACCCCATTGACAACACCCTGCAGATCAACTACATATTCCCCAATGGAATACAGACAGTAAGCTAGGCTTCAACCAACTTTCAACCATCAACTGTATAAACTTTCTAAGGATTTGTTATGCTCCAGGTTTGTTTATTCCCTTGAAATATGTGGAGGTCTTGATGAGGCTTGAATTATTTCACAACACAAATCTTAGCATCGGGTTACGTAACATATTTTTGAATGATAGATGATGCTATTCTCAATTAATTAATACCTTAAAATAAACAAACAGCATCAGTAACCTGTCTTAAAACCAGTCTTGAAAGACTTGACACTGTAATGTATAGCATAATTAGATTTGAATAAAGACACTGAACGAGCTCAGCACAGGTTTTAAAGGAAGCATTCTTTCAATGGACGAAGTTGATGATCTGGTTGGTCTGGTTATCAGCGCTACGGGAAAATGGAATCTGACAAGGAAGCAACACATATAGTTAAACTGAGGGAGAAGAAAAACAATGCAAGTAAATGTTATTTGAGAAGCCACTGAAACCTCACTTCCCTTCCTCCAGGACAAACACCCTCACCCGGGCCAGCCTTACCCAGGGCTGCGGCTCTGTGCATACCTGCCGGACAGCCACGACGGCCGGAGGGTCCTCAAGCTGCTGGACAAGGCCTTCAACACGGAGCTGCTGTTCTCTGTGGTCACCAATAATGAGGGGCAGGACGTCGTCACCGCTGCTTCCATCCCCTTGAAAACACAAGCAGAAGGAGGAATCAAAGTGTGAGTAAAATGTGCAACCAGACTTTACAAGTTGGTTTATATAACATACTATACACTATAGTTATTCACTCTGTGTAATTTGTGTTCTTCCAGTGATGGCTACCCAGATCCTGACTACCTGAAGAATGTGAGAAAGATACTGAAGGATAAAGGCATTGAATAAACCTCAGCACACACTGTGAGGGCTTCAAACTACAATTGTATCTCTAAATGAATCTGTGATAAAAATAACGAGGAAATGAACTTTAAAAAAAGATCAACCATGGTTGTCATGTATTGTGTTTAGTGCAGTCTGTGTAGATTAATAAAGTGCCTATACTTTTTATAAATATTATTATTAATGTATTAACTTTTGATGGTGTCTAATGACATGTCCTTATATGAAGGGATTATTTTATTGTATCATTACAAAGCATGATTTTAAACCTCAGAATATGGAGTCATATTATATTTGTTCTACGGGTCATATTCCTGATGAGGGTGAAATACAAACTCCACCAGTTGTCGTGTAAGATTTCACCATCTATTATGACAGATGTTTCACGCCATTGATGCATTGAAAGTATAATGTGCTATTAAACGATTATTTAACTAATACTTCAGTTGTTATGTTGTCAGTTGCGATCTTGTCTTTTTACATTTCTGTCTAACAGATATACATTTTGAACATTATTTTGTTTATCTGTTCATATTTAACTGTGCTCAGCCACTATCTAGTTTCAGGCTCGGTTGGCCGAACTGCTGACTTCCTTCTAGCTTTACAGAAAAAAATGAATTGCTGAAATACTTCCTAAAGGTTATTGGAGTTATTCAAAATCTGTTGAGTTACTTCGAGAGGCTTGTGTTGCTTAGAAAAAGACTAATTCACAATTTTACAACACCTCCTTTTCAAATGATTGTGCATAGGAAAAACACTTACTGTAATGAGCCATTGTTACATCAGGAAGTTGCAGCCACTATTCCAAAATCACTTTCGGAAGACCCTGAGATTTCCATCGTAGAGAGTTTTCCAAATTATTTCATTACATTTTTTGAAATATCGTTCTTTGTTAATCTGGTATCTTTACCACAAAGGAAACAGCTTCACATTATGGAATAAGATGGATTCCACTGCACAACAGTCACAGTATGTGGCGGCAATGACTCTGCTATTTATTGGTTCTATTTTTCTCTTTTACCTTTATACCCCACCTAAAGCCTTACTGCTCCCTTATTGGTCCATATTGCAAAGTGTGAACTTTCCCGGTTTAATGCAGGCCTGATGTTCTCTTCAAACTGAATTACAGCCAGGTCCTAGCACTCACAATAAAGCATAATCTCATTTGGGAGGCCTCTGTCATCCCGGAGCCTCTTAAACCACTTTCTCCTGGACACACACACACACACACACACACACACACACACACACACACACACACACACACACACACACACACACACACACACACACACACACACACACACACACACACACACACACACACTCATCTGTCCACCATTGGCAGGTCACACAGTCTGTCAAATCTGTCAAAACACACACATCAGGGACACACAAGGAGGTAGTATTGTTTGTAGCTCGAGGGGCAGCTACCCAATCCCGGTCTATTGAACTAAGGGAAGAGGAAGCTCACAAAATATTTTTTTGCTACATCAGAATTGTTTAGTTGTGCAAAAACGATAATCATTTCCTTTAAATATTTCCTTTAAGTCAGCGTTTAAAATAAATACCAAGTGCATGGGGTTTGTGAAGTTCAAACACTATAAAGATATGTTATGTATCGCCGCTCTCCTTCCTCCTCTGTCATCACTGTCCTTCTGTTAGTGGTGATGAATGGTTCACAGCAGTGTTTCATTAAGCTCTTTAATTTGGCCCACAATTAGAGACCCTCCCTTTTTGGAAGACAAAGCAGATTGCGTGGCTGGTAATTACAAGACTGGACGATGGTGGGTGTTTAAGATGGATGTAATCTAGATATCCAGCAGTTCCCAAAGAAAGCCAACATCACATTTAGCAATCAGATGGAAAGATGGATCGATAGCATGTGACTTTGTTGACTCCTGTCACTCATTTCCAGACCTTAATTCAACCTAAAAAATCCAAAGACCAAGACCAGTTTATGTATTTTATATCTAAAATCTTTAGGATAAGATAGCAAGCAAAGCTATTTCAAAGGCTGTGGACCTTTTAGAGGGGCAATTTTTCAAAGGAGTCACCATAACGCTGCCTTTACATTTATCTTCTCACCCTTTATCCTTCAATAAGCAGCTCTTTCCAGCCCGGCCCACTCGCTCATCACAATGCTATCAGAGCCAAGGCCACAGACACTCACCTTCCCCTGTGCTCTCACTTTATCCCTTCACAAAGACTCAACAATGACCTGTGTAGACACATTGTACAGTGAGGTTAACTCCGGCCATGCTGAGTGAAATTGTGTGTGTGTGTGTGTGTGTGTGTGTGTGTGTGTGTGTGTGTGTGTGTGTGTGTGTGTGTGTGTGTGTGTGTGTGTGTGTGTGTGTGTGTATGTGTGTGTGTGTGTGTGTTGGCTTCCAGATCATCCGTTATGTGATCATATCTTCACCCCGCTTTCCATTTCTGCTCAGGAATTCTCCCCACTGAAGATGGAGAAGTGTGATAGCATATACATGAGAATGTTTTAATGTCTGCGCTCTCCGCCGACTTGCTCGCTATTCAGAGAGAATAGAAGGACTTTTTTGAATGCTGATTCCCTCTGGACACATTTATTCATCCCGGGTGAAGGAGCTGCATTCGGTCTTTGTGGAGTTAAGGGAGGGAGATGGAGGCCTTTGACTGTCGAAAAAAAAAAAAATCATGAATCTTAATGTGGTTAAGAGTGAGTGAATGTCAGAGATGGATATGCGTGGATATGCTTGGGAGAACCTGTTAAAATCGAGATAAATAGTTGGGGTTACACTACAAAAATGGAAATCTTGCCAAGTATATTTGTGTAATATCTAGTCAGAATATGTCCTTACATCTGATATAATAACTTCAGAAGCAACACGGCAGTGAGATATCGGGTTTTTTTGTTTTTAGACAACGCATCATCTTGTTAAGTCTTATTTTGAGTTGTATCTCAGATGAAACACATATTTTTATTGGAAAATCATCAACCATCAGAAATCAGAAAACTTTTGAGCATTCGCGGCTTATATTGTAACACAACATTTCCTGATTCTGGTCAAATATAGTTCAAAATGCGTTCTCCCAGCTAATTACAAGATCTGGTTTATCTAAAAATATCCCTTCTTATTTCAAGAAATCTTACCAAGCTAATTTCCACTTGTTCTATTGGCAGATTGTTGTACGTATTTCAAGTGAAAACAGCTTGTTTTCATTATTGCTTAACTTGTTTTTGGAGCAGCATTTTTTCCAGTGTAGTTCTTACAATCAACCGATGGGATTCAGTTAGATTGACAACTGTATGAAAGCATTTGATGAATTGTTCTGGAAGTCTAAACTTGTGTTGTTTGACAGCCCAACACGGCACAGGACTTTTATTTTGGAGGTTACAGTTCGTGGCTGTAGAGTTTTGTTCTGCTTTGCCTCTAACACTGTAACCACCTGAGGATGGTCCTCCACCTCGGCCCTGAACCTGCACCTCTGGGTCAGTGTGTGTGTCTGGATCTCGGTGTAGATGGATGGGTGGTCATGCTCTGCCTCTAAACAGCACTACTCCGCCCTCCCATTCAGTGATTAATGGTCTTTTAGTTGACAAATCACCCCTGAGAAGCGGGGAAGCTAGACAGACAATGGTTGCCAGACAATCAATGCCACAAGGTTTCTCTTTCCCCCCTTTGAGCCAGAGCTGTGTTTTTTTGCACTTTCATTCATTTTCATTTTATGTATCTGTGTCTAACTTTACTTTCAGTTAACATCAAGTAGTTCTTAATGCTTTCATTTACCCATCAGGGGTTAATTTTGAAGAAAACACTATATTTTAAGGTCAAACATTATGAAAGTTTCAACATACAAATCATGTGACAGCAATGAAAGCCAAGAGTTCCTTATTCTCTGTCATATATTTTGCTTTGTCCTTGTTTGAATAAGGACAATTGAAGCCATTATGAGGGTCTAACAAAAGACCTGCTGAACACGTTTGGCAGTAATTGTGTTTTAATTGAGATTGTAACATGCAACACTGTGGTATAACCTTAGATAGAACGACAACTTCAACTACATAATTTGTATTTTGCCAATAACGCGATTAGTATATTACATTTCACACACACACAACAAACACACACTATCCACAAAGGTCAAATCCTGGAGAAGATTGGTTCCTCCATTTTGAATAATAAATGCGACCATCCTCTCTGTGAGAGTGTTTTTCAGGTTAAACAAACAGGGCGAGCTGATTAATCCGAGACTAACAATACCAATGACCAACATGAGGTCATTCTCAACAGAGGGGGGTCTGGGGAGAGGCATTTCACGAGGGGGTTGCAGGTATTGGGACCCAGAGAGCTCTAGGGCATGCAGGCTCTGGTCATAATGCATCAATCTCACGGGGATAAACCGGACGTTAGATATTAAATTCAGTTTTGAAGGTGAGTTGTTGAATTGACGGTGTGCAATCAAGCTTCTTAGACTTTTCGACTCTTAGACGTCAACCCAAAGCCTTCAGGCATCGAAATGTTGAAAGACGTTATGTGGATGACCTGCTCGATTATACTCGCCTAAAGAAACCCACAAGAAGGATCCAAATCTGGTGAACTCTGGTGTCCGGGGAGGTCACAAATGGATAATGTGGCACTCAAAGATTATCTCCTGCACTCACTTTATAAGGAAAGTATTTCTTTTACCTTTTCTCTTCTGCTTAGTGGAGTGGCAGTGAGAAAATAAACTAAAGATGGAAACATTTGGAGGGTTATATTCTGTACTAGTCTTTCTTTAAGATGATATAAGTAGGAAATGTTTCCACAGTTCCTCGTTGCTCTCTTTTCTACTTCCCTTTGCTTTCATTTGGTCTCTTCCACCCATTTGCTACTCTTTTCACCTCCTTTCTCTCATAGCTTCTGTCTATCTGCACATTCTGGTCTCTAGGCTCCAATAAATGTCACCCAGCATCATTCACCCTGACCGCCGGCCAATTCCGAATCCAGACGCCTCAGTTATGGCCTATGGTAAGAGGCAATCCATCCTACCTAGACCCTCACTGTTTCCATCACGGTCTCTCTATCCACCGTCCTCCATGATACTCACCTATTTCTTCTTCTCAGTGTCTCTCCCTTACAGTAGCTAATCACCACATCATTCTTTCATTTTTCCCTTTCTAAGTGTCAGTTCTATATAGCTTGCATTTAAAGCAGTGCTGTCCCTTTTCTAAGCACTTTTGTCTGGGGGGTTTACTCTGGGTAGGAGTAAAGGTAATATTTCTAGCATGTGTGAGAGACTTAATGAATGAATCACTGGGAAATGTGGAAGAGTTTCTCCTGGGGCTTTGAGGGTGATGGTTTACGGAAAGAGTGAAGATGCCTTCGGCTTTTAAATTGCCTTTCATACATCACCATCTATCATCAGGTTGGTTGATGCTGTCCACTGTTTGCGGCGATAAACGGAAGTATACGGAAATGTCTTGTGTTAGCGGCTCCTTGAGGCTGCAATGTTTATTACATTCAACAAATGATGAAGGACAAAATAAAAGAGACAAATGGTGCTTTTGCAGGTGGATTAACCGTTTGCCATGCAAGACCAAAAGTTGGAGTCGGCTGGACAAAGAACCTGCACACTCTCCCCCCTCGATTACACATGGTTTGATACACCCATCACAGTTTGTTTTGGATTTTAAGTTGTTGGATTGTTGCACGGTTTCTGTTAAGTGCATACCTCTTGCGACTCGAATACCATGGCTAGATGTTTGACCAAGTAGTCCCACAGAAATGGCAGGACTCACGTTCGTCCACGTAAGCCATTGGCCTCACTGATGTTGTGCAAGGTGCGAACACTCACATTACATTTTTTGTATCCAATAAATAGTCTCAAAATATTGTAAGGATTTTTGATATGCCAAGCAAGTTTCTGTTCACATTATGCCCAATCTGTTAACGGTGCTTTCAATGTGTAATGCCAGTTGAGTGAAAGAAATTGTATTAAGTTAATAGTGAAGATTTTAAAATACTTGAAGTAGGTTCTATCAAAAAAAAGCAAAAAAATAAACACTTCCTAATAAAAGACAAATATTGCCCTGATGTGTTTATACTCGAGGCTCAAATAGCAATTTGCTTGGATGACCAAATACATATAAAAACCTTTGAGTCCAATGGGAGAATCACAGCGGTGGTCACCTCCCCAGAGGAAATGCAATTTTTACGTCAGATGTTTAGTCGACAAACAGACTATATTAGATGTTGGTATTCTATATAAGCAATATCTCTGAGCCCCTTGTGGCATTGCAATATTTACCCATTTAAATGGTTTATCACCTACAGGGAACAGCAATGGTAATTCACAAAATGCTGTATGTACAGTATAAGGGCATGTGTACCTCATCCAGCAATTTACATTAACTTGTGGTGACGGAGTGAGTTGCCTTGTATCAAATCAGAAGAGTGATTTATTATGTTTGATTGAAAATGAAAGCTTTAATTAAAAAAAAAGCAAGATTTCAGTCAGTTAGAATTAAATCTGTATCACATGAAGCTATGAGAAAGAAAATGATTATTTTATTGCAAAGCCGTACACAGTAGATTGTTTAAATTAACAAGGCGGGAATAATCCTTATGCACATCAACAGGTATTATCAGAATAATAGAATGAAAAAAAATTGAAGAATCCAAACGCAGTCAAAAAGGCCAAATCAGCTACTAATTTAATGCCATGATGTATATTTAAAAAACGAAATGGGTTTACTGGAATGCAAGTATATTCATACTACACTCTGAACAGTGAAAGTGGGAACAATATTAACATTTTATCTATGTGATGAGATACAAGCATCAATATAATGCATGTTAATGTACAGTACAGTAAACTTGTTCAAATTCAAATGTAAGAGCTGATCATTGCATCCTTTGTCAGAGCATCATTCAGACTGAAGCCCCCTCCTGAGCTCACACTCACCTTCTGTCTGCTCCCCCTTTTCTCCGGCTGTCATCCCGCTGACAGGGGCCGGCCATGTTGGATGAGCACAGAATCCAGCTGTGACAACCATTTATGTTTGATTAATGGGCGAGCTGTAGCCCAGTGTGGGTGACTAGAAGTCAAAGGGACATCAAAAACTATGTAAATCACAACAATTTGTCCGTGACCATGAGCCGTCTATTTCCTGATGGATGTACTGTGGTTCGGATTTCAAGTTTGATGTAAGTCTGAAGATTTTTTGTGCCATTTTTAGCTTTTTTTGGGGTCTTTATAAGTGTATATTTTGTACCCACAAGTGTCTTAACCCAGCAGATTCAGTAGCTAGCTAGACATTTGTAGTATATCAGTTTTTATAAAATCTGTGTATGGTTAAAACTGTTTTTAAACACTATGATTTTAAATGCACATTTCTTTGTATTTTACATTTTAGCTCTTTGTAATTAGATTGCAGTTATTGTTGGACCCCACATTTCTAAGTTTTTCTTTTTGACAACGATAATTCTGCTCTAGTGTAAATTATACCTATATACCGTTTAAGTATTTAATTTGAAAGAAATCTGTGTATAGCAATTTTCTTGTTGAAAGGGACAACCACATTGAACATATTATCAGGGTTAAACTCTTAAAGTTAATGCATGGGATTGTACACACACACGCGCGCGCGCACGCGCGCACACACACACACACACACACACACACACACACACACACACACACACACACACACACACACACACACACACACACACACCGTCTGATTATGTTGGTTTCGGCCGCCCCTCCCTCCACTAATTTCCACACCCTCTAGACATGGTGGTTCGAAGCCCCGCCTCAAATCCAACCCTCTTTGATGTGAAAGGGTATTCGAATAATTTGTCATTGTTCTGTTGCGCGGCTCAGGCGGGGGGGGGGAGGGACTTTGGGATGAGAACAAGTCAAGGCTTTTGATTCATGGCTTTGTCTGGACAACACAGATTAATATTTGAATGTAATTATTACTTCCCTGGCTATTACTGACCATACTAAATTAAATCATCTGTGTAAGGGAGCGATTGAGTAAAACACAGGTATTTCATCAAAGCTTCAGCAGAACTGGAGGAGGTGGTATCACTTACTTGCCAAATGAAAGAATGATTGGATATGTGGAGCGGGTGGGGATAAGGAGGTACGGAGCATCCTAATGAGGACAAATGTCATTATCCTGAGCAGGTGCTCGGCCTGTGATTCATTTGGCCACTCTGCTGTCATTTGGGGAACATCAAACGAGGCATAAAGTAATGGCACTGGGAGATTGTTTTGTGTGATTGAATTGGATTTGATACCATCACTTCAATCACTTTCTAAACTTGAAAACAAATCAAAACGATTAGAAAGTGTGAGGAAAATATCATTTGACCATCCATCCAGAAATATTTTAAGTTTATGTCGCAATTGTTGAAAACATATGTACATATGGATAAGTAGGGATTACTCTTGGTATTTATTTCACGTATCAAACCATTGTATTATCACTAAACCAAGTATATCCTTTTTTATTCATACTCAATCCTTATATTATCACCATCTGTAACACCAGTTTCCTGTTTTATTTTTGAAGAGCCATCAACCCCCGTGTCTGTTTTTACTTCCTGCCTCTGTGTTTTCCCTCCTGTTTGATTACCGGATTATGATCACCTGGTGCCTTTGAGTTTTCACTTCCCTCCCCACCTGTGCCTTGTCTTTGTGATTAGCCGTGCATGTTTTTAAGTCCTGGTTAGTTAGTTATCATTTGTGGGAGTGTCTGGATTTTCCTAGAGAGAGTTTTGTTATTTTTGTTTTGCCTTGCCTCTACTGATTGAAGGTACTTTTCTGTTGAACATTTATTTTGGGTTGCACGTGATTTTCGTGATAGAGCCTTCCCCACAATGTTTTGTTTTAGTTCATGGAAGTCAAATTGAACAATTTGTTTGTGTTTGGTTGTACTTTTCTTAACCCTCTCTTTTGTTCGACTTCTGGCTCCAATAAACCAAGATGGCGACTGCTAAAAACCAAGATGGACGTTGAAAAATGCCAAACTCAAGGCTTCAAAACGGAAGTCCAGAAACCAGTGGGTGAGACCACGTCTATCTTCAAAAGGTTAAGGTGAGGTAAAGATGTCATGGTTCATTATGAAAACATGTTGACATCTAACACTATACAACTCATAACAGAAAACGTTTTATATGATCATTCACACTCCAGTCACATTTCACTGCTACTTGTTAATGTCCCCCTACATCCTCCATTGACACTTAAAGCTGTCACTGAGCATAAATCACTGATGTGGAAAAGTTGCACATGAAACTAATTCAAGGGAGACAGCCCTTCATCAAACTGTCACAGCATGTATGTATGTACTAGTGGAATCTGCATACTATATTAGGTGTTTCCACACATGGTATAAGCGCCTTCAGTCGTCTCCATGTTTAGTACAGGAGAACTGTCATTCAGGAACACACACCAACAGTACAGTGATCCTGCTGTGAGGCAGTCAGGGTCAAAGTGGAACTTCACCCCTCTCTTCCTCCTTGCTGAGCTCATGTTCTGTCAGGATTAATGAGCTGATAGAGGCTTGAGTGATGGATCAGAGAGCAGTGCTGCAGGGAGCCTGTTAATGGACTGCTGAATAATGAACAGATATTCAATTTCACAATTTAGCTATATTTACGCTGACTGAACACACCTCCAGAAGAAGCGTTCTTGTTGGAGGAATGAACCTTTGGAAGTTCAACAGTTAATCATCTTTTAACTCACTCACAGTTGGTATGGTAGGGTAGGGTAAACATTGTTGCCAGATGTTATTCTGTTGCCATTTCTTTTTTTGGTATGTTACATAAAAACCAAACAGGTGAAAAAGGATCGCTGGTCAACATTTAGCATCTGCCTTGCATAGTGACTAGTGTAAGCTCTATTCTCGTGTGTCTATCCAACAAATATGATATCCTGACATCAACAGCATTTAAATCTTCCCACAACTTTTGAATGCTACATTATTATTTGGGTATAGTAAAACTAAGCCTTGTTCTTATTAACAATGCCAGGCGACTGTCAGTTGGTTCAAAGTGCTTTGATAAATGTGTTACCCTTTAAAATCAAGAAAATGTAGTAAGCTCTGTTGTGACTTTACACCTTTACCTCTTGCTTCTTACCTATAGCAAGGGGTACCATTGAATTATATAACATTGCATTCATTGTAAGTCATTTCTCTAACCCTTACCCTAACATTTAACTGATTGACAAATCAAGCCTGAAAATAAGCTTCCTTATGAACATATATCAAACTTGAATATAGTAATTTGGAGACTCTTATCGCAGTGATTTTTGTGAACGTGCACGCTTGTATACATCTTGTGTGGCCTCTGGTTTTGTGTTTCTCTGTGTGTGTTCTGCTCCATCAACAGCCACTATTCTCGTCTTCCCATATCAAACAGTCAATGTCTATTCACTGTTCCAGGGCTGATTTATGGCCTGCTATTGTTGTTCCTCCCTGATATTGTTGAATACTGCAGACTGTGATTGCCTCCTCAGACCCCTTGCCACTCCGTACCCTGCACTGTCACCGCGGGGGCCCCCTGCGGACCTTACATACACTCTAATTGGTTTGGGAAGGATTTGGCAGCCTTTGAACTAAAGAAAGATAGAGGAAAGTGGAGAGTGAGGCAGAGAGATGGAAAGACAGAGAAAGAGCAAAAAAAAAAAAGGTGGAGAGGTGGAGGGAGTGTTTGTGTGGATGGGGGTGTAGTTTTGGGGCAGTTCTCTGTCCTCATCCTCAAAAACCAAACAAAACACATGCAGCAATACCACTGACACATTGAAACAGTATGCATTTTACTCTTGAATAAACAATATTGACATGCGCAGTAATGCCTGTCGCATGCAAAGTATCCCTCAAATTGGACAGATTGGGGTGGAGTGAAATGCATTCACATGCAGAGACAGAAGGGGCAGATAAAACGTGTCAGCCGGACAGAAAACTGTCAATTAAAAATGATCTCTGAAAGCCAAAGCTATTTTGAAGTCAGAGCTACTGCCCTCTCCCAATGTAAGTCGGATGAGCAGAGTTAGTTATTAGACAAAGATCTCAGTTTTATCAAAGGAACCTTTTAAAGTAGAGGAACAAAACAATTTAGGAACATTAGTCAAACTCAGTAAATCGCCGAAAATGTAGAAAACGTCTGATTGAAATTTCATGTTGGGTGCCAGCCGACATTTTGAGGGACAAGACGGGTGAAATGCCACACAGTCGTGCTCTCTCGGGGTGTGCCTCAGACAGTTCCCTGCTTCACTGAGCAGCGAACTGACCATTTCCTGAATTATCCAGTACCAGAATTTGACTGGATGTTTAGAGAGTGTTTCCAGAATGCATTGAGAACCTTTTGGAAGTCAGTAGGCACTGCGAGCCCTTTTGCTTCACTTCACCTGCCAGTCAGTTGCTCAGCCCTGAGAAAAGAGACACCAAAGTCCACGTGCTCCAGCCACAAAGTGAGGAGGGGGGGTGGGGGGGTGCAGGTCTTAGTGATGGATGGCTAAGCCCAGCTGAGCATATTGCTCCCTTAATAAAAGCTGCCCTGCAATCCACACGCAGCTAAGGGTGTATTTTCTCCTGGTGGCTCCCTCCGCCCTACTCACTCCACCATCATTTTAAAGAGCGAAAACTGGTTTAGGTGTCAGAAAGAATGATGCCCCTCGTCAGACTGTGACTCACCTCTGAGCGGTATCCACAGCTATATTCACACCGAGAGGCTCTCTGTTGATGTGCGCTGTTTTCTTTTTTCGCCCTTGTTTTTTCCAAAGGCCAAGAACAAACAAGAAAGACAAAGGGCATCATCAAAATCTCAACCGGTGACTTCAGAACCAAAACAATGTTTCCGTCTTTATTTGGCTGTTAGACAGGCAGGAGCCACAGCACAGCCGTGGAAATATGATCTGGTGAGTTGGAGGTCATGAACCAGGGAAACAGACTGATTTGATTGTTGAACACGTTGGTGGGAAATAATAAGAACAATTTATTTTACAAAATAAAAGTTTAAAACAGTGCCAAAATAGAGAATACTACAATAAAGCTTAGAAAATAACAATCCAATCCAGTTGGCTGGAGAACAAGCAAAAGAGATACACGTTTTTGACCGTTCAGAAACTCATAAAAGTACAGGAATCAGAAAACCTAACTTGAATGGATGTCCCTTAAACATTACATTTTATTATGTTTATTAAATGCTCCTGCTACATACGAACAAACTGCCTGCACTTTGTAATTTCGGTTATACCTGAGTCAAATTAATAAGTTACTCTATTCATACTTTTAGATTGAACTGAATAATACTTCAATCAAGTGATTATGTATAATTCACCAGGTTATCAGAACAATGTGTCCCCAAATACAACAGTTAAAGCAGGCAATGAAAAAGAAAGGCATCCAAAATTAAAAATTCTGTGATTACTCTTGTCAGTAGACCGTGCAGTTAGCAGAGTAGCGTTGGGTACACAGGAAGTCACTGGTGACCTCCCTGTAACCTCTGGCTTCAGTCAGACCGCTTCCTGTTCAGCCAACGACAAGACCAACAGTTACGAGAGGCGTCTAATATTGTGTAAAGTCCTTTTCCGATATATAATGAGTAATACTGCTGGCCAGTGCATGGTTCCTACCTTCCATGAGGTTGTAGAGGTTGCAGTAGTTGGTGCCGTGGTCTTTCATGGCGTACCAGGTCTCAGAAACAGACATAGCCTACAAACAAAGTCACAACTACAATAAACAACAAGGCTGCACATAATCATGATTCAGGCAGGAATGGGAATAAGGACAGATACCAAGAAAGGAAAACGGGCTGAGACAGAGAGGAAACAGATGAGAATACAAACCAAGAGAGGTAAATACATATGAGGAGAGAGAAGAGAAAGTGAACTTTAAGTGAAGACTATAGGAATCATGATAAACAGTTTGCTAGTTTGGTTTTCAGATACGTTTAGATAATAAATAATCTGAGAGCAAACACCTACCGAAACGTGACAGCAGGTGAAGAAGTGAAAGGGGACCAGCCGGAAGGTGATGTCGTCCACAGACCTCTTGAAGGGAGTGATGTGTTTGGCTGCAATGAAGTGGACAGAGGCAGACTTCAGCTGCAAAGACAACAATTCATATTTAAAGACTTGTGAATTGTTTCATTAAATTGACTTTCTTTAGTGAAGCAAACACAGAACAAAGTATTTGATACATCTGATTTACCAAATGGTGGGGTACAAAGTTTAAAGAATGCAACAAGACAAACAATCTACAAACGCTGAGGATGTCAGTCGTTATGCAATTTTCTTTTACGTGTACCTTGAACCAAATAAACGGGTTGTTTGGTGTTGAAGGGGTGGCCCAGTCCAGATTGTGTTATCCCAGACATAGGGCAAACAACAGACTTTTCAAAAACCTAAAACCCCTTTCATTTGTTTCAAGTTTTTATTATTTCCTTTTGCATCACATTCTCCTGCTCATATGTGTACCTAATTTCACTGGGGTCAAGTTTTGGATTTATTTTGATCACTTAAAAACTCACAAAATGTTGAGATATTTCCCAAAATGGTTTAATATTAAGAGAAAGAGTCAGTGGATCACTGTATATTGGCAAGAAAAATCTACAAGAGATTGTACAGTGCAATCAGAGAGATCCAGTAGTGGATCACCAAAGTCATTCAATTTCAATTCCATTAGTGACTAGTTGTACATATATTTTAGTCAAAAGCACAAATGTCAGAAAGGTCAAAATAAGTTGTTTCTTAATACGTTGTCCTCACAAGTACAGGAAAACACACACACGCACCTTATACAGGCACTTCTGTCCTCCCGAGGTGCAGCCAGCCATGGTTCTCCACTTCTGAATCTGTGAGACCAAGGCCTCATAAACCTTTAGACACGGTATCCCAAAGTACCTGTATGAGAAAAACAAGTCACTAAATGTGCATTTACCTTCGTCTGAGCTCTGGTTCTGAGAAACAACTGAAGCTGGGGTTGTAAAGAAAATGGTGCCATCTAGTGGACACTAGCTGTCACTGTTGTTTTTGGACTCAATTATATCACTTTTTGCGTCTTAATAATGACGCCTTTGAAATGCAGACTTATTTTACAGCATTATTTAGATGAAAACAGTACTAACCTTTTTTGGTGTTAAGCATAATGTCTCCATTGTTCTTTTGTAATGATTTGTATTGTATTTGTATTAAACACACACAATTGAAATAAAGATGGAAATTCAGAGAAAAAGAAGAAACTGTCGTAGTTCAGTCACGTGATTGAGCTCAGAAGAAGGAGATTTCCCGCTCACAATATAAATGGCATCTCAGCGTCCTGCTCTGTGGTTTGACTGGCTGGTTAAGTTAATTACAGCTAATAAGATGAACATATTAAGAAGATCACATGTTCTTTCCCAATCCCAACATATTCCCAAATGCATACAGATTGGTTCTGACTCCAAAAACAAGAATTGTCTAAGAATAGTCAGTTGGTATAGAAATTGATATACACTTAAAATATAATACTGTCAAACACAATAGGAAATCCAACCGTAGTTAAGTTTATATTGTGTCAGAGAAGAGTTGATTGAGGAAAGAATTGTAGACATACTGATTTTCTTGAATCTGTTTGTGTCTTTCCTTTATAACTATATCATTATTTGTGTTTTTCTACTCATGAGATGACATATCCTGGAAATACTCAAATGCCTTTTGCAGGCCACAACTTCCAGTCGCACACAGGAAATATTAACAACTAATGGGCAGATTGCTGTGAACATTGCTGGCTGCATCCTAAATTAAGTTTTACCTCATGGCCTTCCCTGTAGTGCCACCCAATGGACAAACTGGCTGCAAGAATAGCAACAAGCAACTATAGTCCACATGTAGTTGGATCTGTTTATCACTCAGTATGTTTGAGGACCTCTGCCAAATCCTGATGGACTTTACTTTGACTTGTTTTAGATGTTCTAACCCTATCATCATTTTCATTACAAATGCTCTGGATGTGAAACACATTAAATTGAATGACAGAAATAGGGCAATCATTTCAAAATTAACTAGACATTCGCCAGAATACTAGAGATGTGTACAGAATTATGCAATATTGGTCGGTTTTTGTTATGAAAACCCAACATAACACATCTATAAAGTATGTACAACAGAGAAAAAAGCATACCAATCCACTTTGCACTGGGCATGGAAAGGTCCGGCACAGCAAAGCTCAGAGGCACCAACTGTCAGGAAAACTGCAAAAAACCACTGCGATGGATTCATTTTTGCTTCAAACTTCCTCAGTAAAGTTCAGCCGGGATGTAATCCTCACACTGACAACAGCTCAGATGACCAAGAGACATCAAATCACAGGATGGTCATGTGCTTTTCTAAAAAGGAAATTCAATTAACTTCAGAGGACGAGCCAGGAAGAGAGGCTGCAGATATACTTGTTTTACACAGAAACTATTTGTTCTATTGCTTTTTCCCTTCCCACTTCTTTGAAATAAAAAAAGCTCCTACTTGATCAAATAAATTAGGAAAGAACTTTTTATTCAGCTTCTTCCACCCGCTATGCACCCAGGAGAACACGCTGCTTCCTTCCTGCTTGGCTGCTCAACCCTTGTGTGTTATGGCATGTGTGTGTGTGTGTAACACTTGACAGCCGTGTCTCAACAAAACACGGTATGTCACAACCCGTCTCACTTTTATACCTCAGTAACTGGAAGGAGTAATGATGAAGCGGAGTGATCACAGTTAAACTCCTCCACCCTGTCAGCTCTGAACAGTCTGCTGTGTTTCACTCATGGCTGAGCACTGACAGAAAGCGTACAATATGATATATCCATCCAGTGTCTTTTTCCCCTATCAGTCGACTTTTTAGAAACTACCCAAGCACACTGTTATCAAGTAAGTTCTAAGGACTTATTGCTCCACTGAAATATAATAAGATTGCATCTTTTATTAACCCTCATAAGGGCTGCACTCATCTTCTAACATCCAAGCTTCTGAGGCATCTCATATTCTTCCCAGCCCTATCAGATGTCCCTGCTCTCATTTGGTCTCATGTGGTCTTCTATAACTTGACCCTGCTGAAGGCTACAATGACCGTCAGTCCTTTCTCGGGACTCAATCAGGCAAACTGTTTTTCATTTCCTGGAATCAATCATCCCCGACAAGACATCATCTTCACTTCTTCCAATCAGCTTGTTGAGGATCTGTTCAGTATGTTTGCTCAATAAATGTTTACACTGCTGAAACATCTGCATGACTTTCAACAACATTTCTAACTCACGCGACAACCTAATTTTAAAGCTGGTGCCTCACAACAATTGTGAATTTTAAATTACATTGACATTTTGGCTATACTGTCCATCTTACATGTTCTCAATAAAGCATTGTTCTGAGTACAGGAACCCCTCATTCAACAAAATGACAGACTTGAGGTTCAGGTTTTTGCCGAAATATGCCGATAACAGACATCAAATCTCCCAGTAATCTGGCAGCCATGATGATGAATGTTTTCCCCGTGTAGATAAAGCAAACCATCTGTAAAGGATTGTACAATAGGTCAGGGATACTCGAGAATTTCTTTGTAACTTATTCTGAGTGTGAGAAAAAAATGGTCATGGCCACACTCTCTTTCATAGTTCCTACAAAAGAACACATCTGTACAAGTTGTTCTGCACGAGATCCAGTGTTCACGAGATAAAATGTACAACAAAATGCAGGCCATATTGGAAGTGTTCTACAGGAAATGCACCAATACATATATTAAAGAGAGAAACTGGAGAGAGTTGCCATTGTAGGTGNGTTAGTGTGTGTGTGTGTGTGTGTGTGTGTGTGTGTGTGTGTGTGTGTGTGTGTGTGTGTGTGTGTGTGTGTGTGTGTGTGTGTGACAGGTGGTGTTCTTTACTTAAGGCTTATGGTATTGCAGGTGCTCACTCTCAGTGCAATTTTCTTTGTATGTGGCATGTCACTCAAGAGATATTAATATTCTTTTGTATTGACAGCTTTAACAAAATCACTAATATTTCTACTATATATATATATATATATCCTTATCCATAAAATGACCTCTTTTAATTTGATGTTGTGTGAATATACAGTTACTTGTGAATCAGGGGCCCTTTAGAGCCCTTTGTGTGTATTCAATGGTGTACATCCTCTACTGCTTTTGGCTCCTTATTTCTAATGAAAATAAAATCTGAATGCTCCAGCTTACATTGATATTTAAGACAAATGTGTTTCACCAACTCTGTGTAAATAGTTTGTGTTTGGCCCTTTCCTGTTCCAACATGACAGAGCCCGTGTGCTCAAAGCAGCCCAAAAGAGAACTCTAACCAAACTCCATCCAACTGAACCCATCCTCAGTGTTAAAACTCATCCATGCTCCTCATTTTTTGTTATCTTTCCAGGTTTCCCTTCATTAACTGGCTCGTAGTAGACTTAATTGCCTCTTTACAGCCGTGGTCCAGGGTTATATGCACAGAAAAGCAATAACCATTCACTTCCTGTGTCATTTCCCTGTGCACAGGTAGTGCTAGGCTAATTGCATAACGTGGTAGTCAAAGAGCTTGTGCACCAGGTGTTGTTCAGGCTTACTGCAGTCAGATTGCATGCAGCACAGTTGTTTGTGTAGAAATCCTTGTCAGTATCTGGTCATGGACAGGAAGTTGGACAATGAATGTTAATTTGGGCGGAAAAGACTGAAACTACTCCCACATCCAAGCGTGATCTGCAGTTGTATGAGATACTTCGGGCACACAGATATGAAAACAGTGTCTACACATTACATCGGTTGAAGATAATATAATCCAAAAAAATATAATTGTGAAGGCCATGTCATTTTACAGTGTGTGTGTGTCTATGTTTACTGACTGCTGTCTCTATGGGAACCAGAAGAGATGACATAAATATAACATCACTTTGACTGGTGCTAATGTGTGTGTGTGTGTGTGTGTGTGTGTGTGTGTGTGTGTGTGTGTGTGTGTGTGTGTGTGTTCGTCATTTGGTCAGTGCTTTTATAGCTGGCGGATGAGGAGGAGGGCTCACCATGGGTCCAGACAGGAGAGAGAGAGGGGCCGCTGTCATACACACAAACACAAACCACATGCAGCTGTTCAGTGTCTGCCTGAGAGGCACGTGACACACACACACACACACACACACACAGTTTTGGATGAACACAGCATAAAGTGATTGTGTAAACGCTGTTACTCGGCGGTGCCCTCTCTTGTCTCTTTTGG